ATATATCTGCTTCCATAAAAGATTGAAAGGGAGAACTGGGTTAAGACCAGGTGTGTCACTTGTTCCTTGGGAATTTACAGTCCCTTTTTCCCTTTTATTTTGGAATGATTCAAATTCAACAAGCTTAATTGGTGTGACCGATGCATTACAGTGTTGCCAAGATGTGTCCTTGACCATTTTCCAGAATAAACAAGATATAACCAACTACCTGTCTCACAACAGCTTACTCAAAAGCCATCAAGTCACATCTTCAGTGCATCATTATTATCTTTGATCACCATTATCATTATACAACTCTGCAGTGAAATCTAAATCATTCTGTATGAGCAAGAGCTATGCAATTATTTAATGGTGTTTTGTAATTACGAATTGTAATCTCTTCTGTAAGTCTGAACAATGGTTTGCACCAGTATCCCATTCAAAAGTCAATATCAAACAGCGATTTATGGGTTCTTAGTATCCTCAATACAGGTGGGGCTTTAAAAGGATTAGTTTTATTGGAAAAATACACATTGTAACAGGACTTTGGTAAAACTCCATGTGAACTGTTCTGGGGTTCTTAAACTGCTAAGGGAATTATTGGGAAGGTAACGTCATGTCCAGTATGTCATGGTAATCAATCCTTTAACAGCAGAAATTAGTAGTGTTGTCCCAATGCCTTTAGTTAAAGACAGACTGCAAGGAAGCATTAGGTTAAATGTGTTTGTGCCTTATGTAATTTCTATTTAATAGTCATTATAGTGTCATTCGGCGCTATAATATTTGCTGGAATCGTTATGTGAGTCTGCACGTGTTTCTACGCGTTATTTCCCATCAGCCTTTTCCACTTTTGTTTAGTTAGTAGTTAAAATGTAAACGTTTCCCTCGGTTGATAATGAAATAATAAAAACATATATTTATAATTAATTTCTCTGACGCTTTCACTAACGCAACTTAACAATCATACCCATTTATAAGGCTAGGCATTTTGCTTAAGTAACATAAGTGATTGCTCATATGTACTAAAGCAGTTCCTTACATTGGTTTCGAACTCATAATCTTCGAGTTATATTTTAGGACCCTACTCTTAATAGAAGCTGTTAGCACCTGCAGCCAAAATTCGTTTTGTAATCATTTCTGTAAAAAAAAAAATATATACGTTAAACACATATTAGTGTTTTAATATTATTATTAATATGACCTTTCGGTTCCAAAAATATCTGCGTTTAAAAATGTCATTGGTGTTGTTTGGTATCTTGCAATATTCTCTTACTGTATTTGCAATACAGGGGACTTACAGTAATTTGGTAAAACTCGTGTTTGTGCCTTCGTTCTTGGGCAATCGAAACGGACATCAGTTATTTTGCTCATCCTAAAATTATAATTTTGACTACAGTATAAGATAAGAGATCACTTTATTAGCCATAAACAATTTCTTGCATTTGGAATTCATCTTTTCACATACCCCAGCTTGCTCTACATGAGACACAGACACAGATATTTCTAAAAGTTTAAATAATTGAATGCGGTTTTGCAACATGCTTCTTCACAATATTATGAAAATCAATATCGTCATTATTAAACAATACCATTACCTTTAATGTTTCTATAAATAAAAATGTAACCAAGTGTGCAAGTCTGGATTCTGTATTTTGTAATTATGAAGACCACCATTTTGAAAACTCGAGTCTAACAGTGTCGAATTTTGTGAGTCTTGTACAGACTTACTGCAGCTTTAAAATGTGAACGGTCTGATTTAGTTACCTAATACTTTAAAAATCTCAGCGCTGTACTTCATCTACACCGTCTGAAAATCACGTTGTTAGCATTCAGGCTTTTACGGAGATTTCACTTCAAAGGCAGAGGTACGTGACAAAACAAAGAAACCTTCAATCGAAAGTGTTTAACCTGTGAAGTCGGTCCAATGGCTCTTATCTAGAAGTAAAGAAACATCAGAACTTAGGTATTAGAAGAGATGAGTAGTGATGTTTGCTGTTCAGTATTCAAGATGTGGGAAGAATAAAACCTACCGCATCCCAAACACATTTGTTGTCGATTTAACATCTACATTACAATACAAAGTGTATCAGAAGGCTTGGAGTAGATAAGATAATTATGAATATAGAGGCTCTGACCTGGTCAAGGTGTACGTCATTTCCCAACAGAGACTTGGGTCACTAGGTGAGGTCCTCGCATCATTGAGGTGAAATAACAAGTAATATGGGCTTTGCTATATTGATATTGTTACTCAGTGAGTACGAATTTTCAAAAAAAAAAGAAAACTGGCATGTTGACTCTATATCACAGGATTTGTACTCAACAGGCTTTCGTTTTATCAGGCGTCCACCCGTAATTTCAATTTGTTATTCTCATTCTCTTGAATAATAATTTACATTTCATCTTGATTTACACCCCTCACTAAACACCGCTAAATATGAACATTTTACTATCAACCGGTTGTGTAGAATATATTGATTTGACATTTGTTTTTCAATAGAAACTTATGATGATTCTTTTAATTAAATTTGAAGACTAAAACGGTGACCAAAGGACCAAAGGAACAGGTGATGAATAAGTGAGATGCGAACGGAACATATTGAGTAGCCTAAAATGTACCCTGCAGCCGCTGAACTATAAACTAATACATTGAATTATATCTCTGTACCCTCCTAGAGAGAAAGCAGCCATCTTTCATCGAAGTGGGATGAAAGCCAGTGTGAAAACCAGGCAGCGATTAATTCATTAAAACGTAATACTGACCACCAGTCTCAACAATAAACGCATAAATTAAAAATAAAGGCGACCGTGTACACCGAGTTATAACAGAGCAAATGAATTGTTATCTGTGGCCCAAGGCTGAAAAGGATGAGATAGTGATTATATTTAAATTTGCTCTAATTGATCTGAAGGAGTGCTTCTTGGCAAAGACCAAATTGATCATTACGTTTATTGGCGAGATAAAGTCGGCTGTTATTAATAAAGATGGAAACGACGTTTCTGCTAAATTGACCTCAATTACATAGGGCTGCAAAAGCTATTAAATTATCCATTCCAGTACTGTATAAACTACCGCCTTTTTAATGACACTTTCCCACTGGTAAATTGTGATGCATTTTAGATTTTGAACAGGGATGACAAGACAAAGTCTTTTTTAAAATAAAAATATCCTGTCTCTGTTCACAGTACACAATAACAACCTGTGTGTTGTATTAGATGGTTAAGATTATCTTTCAAACTCACCGGATATTTCTATAGAAACACGAAGTATTAATCCAACCTTTCCTTTTAGTTGTGAAACAAAACAGATACGAATAGATGCCTCATTCTGTTCTCTATAGTACATACACAGCAGGATTTTAAAATCTGTTTTGAGATTTCAATTGCAGGTTTCTCCAAAGGGTTTTATGTAAAACCTGCCACCATCAACTAGTGGAACCTAAATCGAATCATGTTACTCGATTACATGAATCAGACATTAAAAATATTTTGCAACTTAATATTTTGCAAATGTCTTTTTGATAAAGCTGAAACCTTGCCGAAGTGGCACAAATATAAGATCAAATAAGAATGCACGGTCTGTAACAAATGTCATGTGTTTACAATGGAATCACATTCGTGATTAATTCCTGACTAATTCAAATTCAATTTAGGATTAGATTCTGTTTTATCTTTTGAAGAATTATGCCAGTATTTTAGTTGCAGTTAAACATCAGTATAGTGATTGTTTATATACACACAGATATACACTGATAAAAAGCGAAAAAGGTGAAAACGTCTAGAAACGAAGTAAAAGAATGTGAAATGCCGTCTTTTTATTTATGAAAATAATGTAAGAAAACGTCTTCATCGGTTTGTAATCGTATGCAAGTAAGAGAGTGTATACGAAAGAAGAGAATATGGATATACAGACTATCCACAGCAAAACCTGCGCAAAACCATGAATAGAGCTACTCCAAAACACAATAACATTTAACCTGTCCGGCATATTCCTCAATATTCCATCCGGCTCCCATGATTAATGAGACACGTTTCAAAGGTTTATTAATATAAAACCATTGCAACTCGTGTGTGAAATGTTTCTGCAGTTTGACTCCATACTTAACGTTTGCTCTCATGCACGTTTACACCAATCCGAGAAAGCTTTTAACAAGAATTCCCAAGACCTGCCCCAGAAAAGATGTCTGAAACTCCACCACAGGTTGCCAAAAATAGTAAATTAATAAAGTTTAGAGAAGTGTGTGTTTGCACTTCATTGTATTGTCGCGTTACACGCAGGTTTTATAGTCTAGAAAATAAAATAAAAATGTTCCCTTAATTATTACTTAATTTCTCAAAACAATTGCCTATTAATCTCATGGTTAGTATATAATTTTGTCATTATAAAAAAAAACGAATGAACCAATAAACACAAACTTTTAAATGTATAAAGGACTCAATAGCAATTCAAACTCAAGTAAAAAAAAATCGTCACGTGAAAGGATAGTTCATATTTTTTATTTTATTTAGGACAAGCGAATTCATCCATTTACTCATAACATAACCCATTTTTCAAATTATTGAACGCAAGAGTATTTTTAAATGCAAATCCATTTTTGAATTGTTTTCTTGGGTTACTTAAAATGTTTACATTAAGAATAAATATATCATTTTGTACATTACCCTATATTTATATATAAATGTCGTTTAGTAAATATGCGATGTTTTCGTTTTATAATAAAAAACTATATCTGTAGACATAAACAACACCTACAAATTAAAACGTTGTAGCCTATATCTTACAAAAAAAATGATTTCTTATACCATTTGCACTATGGGAATAGCTAAACAATAATTTCGCATGCATACGTATAGGCATGCTGAAAAGAGAAGAGAGAAAACACAACTTTTCGGCTGTGAAGCCTTCTTCAGGTGGCAAGAAGGCTTCACAGCCGAAACGTTGTGTTTTCTCTCTTCTTTTCAGCATGGAATAAACCGAGTACTTGCTCCTTTGCAGCCTACGCATGCTGACGCAGCTACCCACCTGAACGACGTATAGGCATGTTTATATATACAATATACAAAAATAAAGACGTTACAGCTTTTTTCCTGCACATAAACAGAATGTGACATAAATATTACAGATGTGTAACAATCACAGTTTCGATGATAAAACTTTTAAAAGCAGTGTTTACCTTTCAAAGCAACACCTTTCAAGTCTCAACTGAATTTACATTTTGTGTAACACTGTTCCCGAAAACGTCGTTCTTTGTTAACGTGACAGTAGACTTTCGCTTCTGTAAACGGATTCCGAGCAGAGGAGAAACCTTGAAAAAGCAAATAAAACATGATCGACCTAGACTGTACATTTAAAACATGCGGTGTACTAGTGTTCGTTGTTGTTGTTGTTGTTGTTGTTGTCGTTCTTTAACTTGAGACCGAAGGTCCTGGATTCAATGGCTTGATTGAAGACAGAAAAACAGTAAAATACCTGACGAAATCATATTCATAGCCTTTTCCTTCTGCACAGAACGGCTCTTCAAGAACAGAAATGTACAGCTTTTCAGCTAAACTGCAAATTAACCCATAACGAGGACTACGGGTAATAAATGCATGCCACTTACATACAATCAAAAGAGCACCGTCACTTTAAAGAACTATAAAACAAAGACCTTGTACAACTATTTTCCCGCTTGCTGTCTCCTTGTCTCATTGCGGCGGACTAATTTGTCTGTTGTGGTTTCTTTCATCTTCTGACGAGCAGTCCGAGGAATTGTACAGAAAGCCCTCGCCTTCGTCGTCGTCACTGTCTCTGAAGTCTCTCATTCTACTGCTTTTGACCGAGTCGCCTTTCTGGTAATCCGTCTGCTCCTGGTAGCCGTCTGACTTGTCCTGGTTGTTCTTGCCCCCTTTCTGCTTTTCCGCATCTTGCGCTGCTTGTTCTTTGGCTTTTTTGCTTCTCTTCCACTTCATGCGTCTGTTCTGGAACCATATTTTGACCTACAAAATCACAGTTGTTTCATAGTTACAACGGAACAAGTAAATCCCTGCACACATACAGTAGCTTCGTCACAAGGTCGTTTGGAGTGCATACGTGGAAAATGTACCTGCTTTCAGATAATAAAATGTATTTCATATATGGTCATATATATTTATATATTATATATATGCTTGCGGCAGGCCTAATAATCAATATTTTAAAAATACAGTGACAGTGAAAAACCTTTAGCATACCCTATAACGATAAAGAGGGAAGCGAATATCGCATTTTATTCCACTACCGATATTTGAAGCAGCCATCCAGCTAAATATCGCTGATGAAAATGAGCGCAGTTTTATGACATGCCACTCGATATACAGTAGACTTGTTGGTTACACAGTCTTGTTGATGGGATTGCTCTGGGTGGGTCCATCATTGCACCCCCCCTTTAATGGATTTTAAAAATGTACTTTAGGTGTTACTGTGTATTTTGTACGTCGACGTGTTAAGCACAGGCATGTAATTTGCCAGTGTAGTAGTAGTAACATGTAAAATGTTACTACTAAAATAGGTTTATTCCATGCTGAAAAGAGAAGAAAGAAAACACAACGTTTCGACTGTGGAGCCTCAGTAACATGTATATTTACATTTCCGCACAGAAAAGTAGAAGGAAGAAACACAATGGAGTTGAGCCTTCCTTTGGGTGCCAGCCTTCTTCTCGCCCAAGCTTTTCTCGAAAGCAGAAACACTGATTATTCTTTCTTCCTTTCAGTGCGGAATTAACCTTTTTTCATCGAGCCAACGAACGCAGAAGCTGCAGTCCACTCTTAGTAACAGTAAGGATGGAACCCTTTCTGTGACTGGGGACTAACATATCGGTTCTTTTACCTGCGTTTCCGTCAGCATGAGAGACGTTGCCACCTCAAACCGTTTGGGCCTCGACAGGTATTTGTTCAGCTTGAACTGATGCTCTAATTCCAGTAGTTGCTGGCTTGTGAACGCTGTCCTCGGCCTCCTGCACTTCCCAAGCAAGTTAGACTGCGCCTGAGCTGCAAAAAAAGAGGAGTAATCCGCGTTTATAGTTGCGCTAATAGGGTTACCATGTTTTCTCGTCTTCGAATTCGACACAGATCCCAGAATTATGGTGCTATTTTACTGATAGTTGTAAAATGTTTACACTTTATGACCGGATCTTGAAGTTCACGGCGGGAAGGCCACATAAGGATGAAAAACGCATTAAAAGATGATTTTAAAAAACATTGTAGCGTAAGCAAGCAAACAAATGTCGTCACGATGTTTTAAAATATTATGTATGATTTATATTTCTTTCATGACTAGATACGTTGTTTCCAAATGTATTATAATGTTACATTGCTACTACTAATGACGACAATAATAACATAAGAACTCCATGTAGAAATCCGAAACCTTTTCCAAATTGAAGGACGAAAAATACAACTTCTTATCTCGTGTTACAATTTAGTGGTCAGGTCATTCATTACATTCTGTGGCTACCCGCTCAAATTGCTGTTCCTGCAAGTTCTTTGATTTTCATTATTTTAGCACTATGAGATATTTACCCCGTAGTGTAAGGGCATTCATTCCAAGGAACAAACTAATTTCTAACAGGGCAATACTAACTACACAGCAGAAAAAAGAGAGAAATAATTGGTTAAAGGTTGAAATGATTTGTTTCCCCTGGGAAAGAAATTAGCTCTGTTTAGCGAGTACGCCCACCATTTTGTAAACACAACCCCCAGTTTTATAACGTGACACTCATTCTCACCGTTAACTAATTTATAACACCGTGCGTTACCTGGAGGTATTCCACATATGTATCATTTAAATATGTTTTATGTGTCAAAACAGGCCTCACCTACAGTGCAGTTTCAGTTTTCCAGTACTGAGATGTTAGTATTTCCTGGTCAATCGCATTTAAGGTCAGTAGAATTCATTTGATTACTTTGTGCTTTTTTTACACTAAGAATTTTATGGTAAATTATAACTTAAGTATAATGCTTTTCAGCTGGATATATATCATTATATAATATTTTGTTTTTATACAACATTTCCTTGTTGGTATAGAGTGAAACATCATAAAATAACATTGTAGTCACTCCTTTAACAACTTTTGAAAAGTTTCGGTTATCCGCCGGTTATAAAAATTGTTCTGCCAGCTCATAAAGACGCCCAGTTTGTCGTCTGTGCGTCGTTGACACTGGTAACATTTCCGTAGAATTTAATGTTTAGACAGAGGAAATGCTATTTACTCCCTTCATTTTGAACAAATCTGTTAAAATGACAAGGAACAAAAAAGCCAGTCTCTGGTGTGCAAACAGAGGGAGGGATGAGATTTTCACACTCCTCCGTCACTTTCGCAGTGTCCATTATCTGTCCATTTTAGTTCTCCCTTGAAAGTACATCGTTCCCCAGCTTGTTCAGCGTTGCAGTGGCATTTTTGCTTAACCTCCGAGGATTCAATGAAAGTTTAAGGTCTCCGTTTTCAATGTTCATGTTGTTATTAATTTCGATCTATTTTAACTTCAAATGTGTTTTACAAGTTAGCCTATATTCTGCACGATCTCTTGAATAATACAGTAAGAACAATTCTCGAAAGAGCACCGCGCTCCCGAATGGATTGCGGAGAGACTACATTTTAGTAAAGCATTTTTATTGTGTGTTTCTGCTGTAAACACATGAAGTGTATACTTTCGTGCGGTATAATAAACTGTATGTGTAACTGAAAAAGATCGGGAAGCAGGAATAGGTCAATGAGAAAAAAAGATATATATTAGGTAAATGCAAACGATGGACACTTGTGCTGTGTAACTTGAAAATAAATTTGCCCGGAACCGATAATATTAATAATATAGTGTAGGTAAATATAACATCGCTGGCCTATACATAACCTAGAAACTTGAAACCCATTCCAAAACGCGGTGCTGTATTACGCATAAAGAGATCTGCAATATAGTAGTCGAAAAAAAATGATCGAAAACACTGCCGCAGATTGGTCTCGAAAGTTTTGCGCAGTGACCTGGTTTCACAGCTAACCGAAGCAAAGAAACTTTACAGCAGCAATAGTACTTAGTAATAATACTAATAGAAGAGTGACTAATGATTGGACTTACTGTTAAAATCCGGCATTTTAGGAAGCATCATCCCGGCAGTGGACACTCGCAGCCAGTGATCAAGTTGAAAGGTCCCTGCGGTTAGTTTGATGGGTTCGCTGGAGTGGTGATGATGAGAACCGTGCGGATAAGAGTAAGATAAGGCAGGATGCTGCCCCAGGGCAGCGGCTGAGTAAGTGTACATTGGGTGGCCATAAAGAGCTTGAGCCGGGATGCCCGACGAGCTCTGTGGGTGTAATCCGACCATGCCGGAGTGGGTGGCGTTCAAGAAGCCCGGTTTGGGGATCAGCCCGCAAGACGACATCCTCGGCGGAGAGGGGGTCTCAGTCCTTAAGGAATCTGTACTGTTATTCAGCTCTGAAGCTGTCACACTTCCGGACGATGAGATGGAAGAAGAGGATAGAGAGGTAACTAGTGCCAGAGGTGAGGTTTGCACCTTCGGTGGATCGACTGCCAGGAGCGCGTCGATACGAAAATTTTTGGATTTCTCCATCTGACCGTCAGTCCAGCGGCGGTGAGCAATCAAGGCACTGCCGTGTTCAATAAGAATGCGGTACCAGAGGACGATCCGGCCTCTTCCACAAGCAGGATTCTCGGCTGAATTGCGAGCTGTTTGACTGGAGCTCCTTCCACTTGAAGGCTCTCATGGTAGGGAGGATGGGTTGTCTGTTTTTGACTGGAAGGGATGCTATTGGTCAGCCGGCTGACTGTTGACGGGGTGTGTTGTGCCTGCTTTGCATACCTTCCGAACTTACCAGCCCCTCCCGTCCCACATCTACCACAAGTCATAAAGATCTGAATATTGTAGAGGACTTGAAGCAAATTATAGGATACCCAGGGTATCTGATGGTTTCACATTTTCAGGATTCTATTTCTAAGCCCCAGTCAAGAATGCAAGAGATTGGTTAGATATTAGTGCCGATTCAATGATGCTGGAAATGAGAGTGCAGTTGACTCCAATTGCAAGAAAAAAATGGTTCCCGATCATGTCATCACTGTTGTTTCAGTGATTTATATATAATCATCACTAACGATTTCTATGAATCCTCTTGGTATGCTGTCTACTGTTTTAACTTTGTAGGAGGAGGCCTCGTTGTTTATGTGTATGTATTTGTGTAAACCTATATATTCGTATAGATACTGTACGTGATAAATATATCCGGACTTGTGCGAGTGATTAAAGTACAGTAGTGTGTTTGGCCTGCGTGAATACGGAGAAACATGTCATAGCAGTCCACATAAAAAAATCTAACAGGCAATTTACTCTTGTAAAGCATTCATTGATCTGTTTCTCACGTGTTTCATCTTATTTCAGAAAACCGGTGATGTCTTGTATTTTAACGTTGGAAACGTCTCTTTCACAGTACAGGAAGAATCTGTGTCTTTAGCCTCTGAACTATTCTACCCCCTCGTGTGACCACTGTATCGAGACAAATTTGTTACGTGAGTCAGCTTGTCTGTGAAGTTTAACAATCTTTCGGATAAAGGTGTCATTTTGTCACAACTTTTTTATAGCCAGAGTTTCCTGTGAAAATGTAATTATCATTGAATTAAGTCACTTTTGCAACCATGTAAACTTTGTCACTCAGAGGTCTATTCATTTTACTAACTCCAGACTCAGGTCCCACCTCAACCCAGAATAGGTACAAGTCCCTAGGTTATACTTCTTACACACTAAATCAACCTTCTGTGTCGTTTTGATTTACTCCGGTATTTTATTTTCCTTACCACGATTCAAAACCGTGCAGCTAAACTGCTAAATGGACGTGATCACTTTTTTTTTATCTTGTCAAACTGTTGTTTTATTCCTCACAAATAACATAATAATGTGTTTTTTATCCAAAACTAACCCCTCCCCCCCCAAAAATGTCATTTATTTGCGCATTCATTATTAATAAGTACTTCTTGTTGTCCGATAAGCATCTTTGTTGTAAACTGAGGCATCTTGAAAGAATAACTTTCAATGAAACGTTCGAGTGATTTTTTTTGTAGTTGAACGAAATTAGCTCTTTTTAGATTTTTTGTTTTTACGTTTTATTTTCACATCAATACAGGTAGTTAGGTGGTACATGTGCAGGTACAGACATGTTTCAATAAATGGTTTTAATAATATAAAATCATTCAGTTAAAATCCTTCCTCATTGCAACATTCATACTGTATAAACGTTTTTTAACGCATTACATAGACGTCCTTACATTAAAATTGTTCTGACCAAGGTTGGTCAGATCCCAGGTTTGGAGTATCCCGATCGGTGTTAGGTGGCAGGTATTTAGGCCACCCACTTCGTAATTGTTTTAAGGGTCCTCGTTCCGCACCTGTAAATTTTACAAAGGACTTTTCTGTTACACAGGTGAACAAACTCACTGTTCGTGTTGCTGGGTTGTTTGAAATGCTGATTGGTCATGCATCCACAAGTTTCTCATTCAGACTGTGTAGAATTCACCGTATCCCATTTTATGACAAGATATTCTAATTATTTGAAATAATGTGTTTTATTATCTTTTGAGTGCAATCTACAGTGTGTGCCTGTCAGAAATTTGCATTACAAATAAACCCGTATTTAACAGTTAATGCGGCCACATGTTATACAATACAAATATGAATAAAAGTTATTTCTTAAAACAAAGTAAGATTACAATTGTCAGCTATTGGGATATTACGATATTTCCTGAATATCCATACCCATAAACCGTATGCAGCTTTTAATGTGTAACTACTGTATATATAAATTTAAAATTAAAATTCTTATTCGTTTATGAAAGTGAAATTTAACAGAAATCATTCCTTCAGGCGTCTTTATTCTAGATGGTTATTTTTATCCACAAAAGCGTGCTATTTAGTAATAAAAATACATTTCTATGTATCCTTATGCATCATAGAAAACACATATTTATTTAGATATATTCGATTGAATCAATGTGTAATATTAAAACTTTCTAAAATCTTAAAGAGCTCGTTTTTGTTGAGCAATACGGCCCAAATCAATTTAATAACATTTCAGATCTGCGTTCATTTAGTTTGAACGGCTTACATTTTACTAGAATTTAATTCCAAGACTAGGAAAATAGTAAGGATTTTGTTTCAGGCATCGTTTTTTCACGCTTTTTACATTTCTAAATCCTCTTCTTTCTACTTACCTTGGCTTTATACAGTACTTTTGCAGTTATTCCTGGAAAAAATAAATAACATTAATTTGGTTTATTTTCCATGCAAAGTAAATGTAGTTATTCTACACAAGTAACTTTGTTTATTTAATTTAGTCGATTGATTTTGCTTGGTGTTTCTGAGGTCTATATTTTATTGCGTAATTACCACCTTTGTGAGTAGGCCTACGTCTTCCCCAAAACGCTGTTTGTTATTCTAACAAATAATCTTACTAATGAAGTCATTAAAAGTGTCACTGTGACCCTCGAAGATCTTTCGTGGCCAACTGGGAAATTTTGCTAAGAGCCACCCTTATGCTTTAACCTTCTGTCAACTTTATACTTAGGTGAAAGGGAACGCAGTATATAATAATTAGGGCATTGCTTAGTTTGACAGAAATGGCGCGGGACGAAAAATTATTTTACTTGATGAAAGTGGAAAGTAACAGTGCTAAACTGGAAGAGCGCTCTTTTTGTTAAAAAAAAAACACGATTTATGTAAGCATTTTCTATTTCATCCAGAGAGTATGGATAGAAGTAAAAAAAAAAACTTATGGCATTCAACTATCACTATCACTATCACTATCACTATGTAGGATGAGTAGGTCCTTCCTTTCATGACGTCTGTATTAACTGTCCAAAGTGAGTTTACTCACCTGTGTTGACCAAAAGAACAGTATTCAGGTGGGAAAGGCTCAGAGCTTCACTAGTTAATTTCTTTGTCTACAGTCATTTCCAGAGGAATTTAGAAAACAAACCCGTTTGTGGGAACACCAAACATCATGCGTAAATGAGTAAAAAACGGTTTATATTCTACCATTATCCTAAGTTCAGTTGTTGTTAATTGTCATTGCTCATGATTAATAATGAAACCTTCACTTAATGCAAAATATCACAAACGCATCTTTGCATATAGGATATTAATTGGTCTGTTTTTGTTAACTATTCCCTCTTTTCTGCTCATAAATATTCTCAAGGAACTATAATACGGACGAAATGCGCCTGTAATCAATCGGGATTAATTGTATGTTATTTCTTAAACGCTGAGTATAAAGTCCAAGGTTTAAAAAGAGACCATTCAGTCCAAACCAGTCATCCGTTTTTTTTAGGAAAAGGTTTAGATGGGAATGATTACCATTGCAAATATCTACTCCATTAAGACATTTAGCCTGCCCCAGATTTATTTATGACTGTTTTTTTTTACTGTAGGCCTATGCGAGTGGTGGTTCTATGCGAAGACCGGTCCAGACATACGATATTTTCTTGTAATCCGCATTGTTTTCGCAATTTATAGCTAATAACATTAGGACACTTCCAGCCGTTATCAAAACTGAAGACATTGCACTGTGACATTTAGTAAATGAGATTGTGATATATAAGCCTAAGTGATAAATGTGACATCCCCTGGCTGTTTTTTTTTTCCTTTCTTCGAATTACTTATGTATAGTGGACTTGTAATAATGGTGTGTTTATGAAAGCAATTGTGCACGCACAATGTATTGGGGGTCCCCTCGCTCTAATCAGCCACTTCAGTTTAATGGACGAAGAGGTCAGGATGAGAATTATCGACACCCTGTTGCCCTTAACCTGTCTCCCAATAAAGCTGATTAGTTTTTGTCAATTCATCAGCTAACCGCTCTCTCCGGGACGGCATCAAAGACTTGTTTGCTCATGGGAAATCAACAAGTCACACAGATCAGTAACATTAACAACTGGATTACGGTTTAATTCCGAACTCACTTGGTATTCGACCACATTTAGAAATAATCATTTGAAAATATTTTAAAATGTTTTTGTTTGTTTGGTTTTTTTTTTGGGGGGGGGGGGGGTAGGATGAATCCTATTGGATACAGTATGTGTCTGGAATCGAGATTGTTTAACGTTTAAAAAGTCCTTGATTTAAATTCAGAATCCCATTAAAACAATATCAATTACGTTTAGAGCCAAACAATTCGAAAACGAGCACATAAGGATGTTCTCAGACTAAACTGGATAGATAACCTTTAATACCGGTCATTAGCCTTCTGCTTATGTGATAGTTTTTCTCTTTTTCTGGCAATGCTTTAGGAATAAACGAGATCAACTTTGCAAAAAAGTGACCCAGTTTAAATACGAATGTTGATAGTCAATCATATAGTGCAAGCACAGTGGCTGCTTGTTGATTTAAAAATTCCTACGTAGAAAGTTGTTATTAAGAAATGTATAATTTAGTCTTGGCAGTTGCGGTGGAATTTAGATTCAATAACTGTCTACTTTAGAATGAGAATATTGAATTGCTGTGTCGAAATGCAAATGATCCAAAATAGGCCTACATCTCGAATGAATGGTTGGGCATTGAGTTAAGTAAAACTATTTGGATTTTTAATCTTGAACTTGTGTAGACTACATTTTATTTGGAAGCGTTTTAAGTGTTTATTTTCATTTTAATTACTATTGTTTTTTTTTAAATACTATTGTTTTTTAACGGAAAAAATGCTTCATTCATACAGTGGTTTTATGAGTTTTGGATTTTTTAATGAACTAAAAG